GGGGGGGTAGGCCTCGGTGATTTTTGGGGGGCAGTGGTGGGGAGGGTGGTGGGGGGGGGGAAGTGGCTGCAGGAGGGAGGGGGCGGCAGCTCTGGGCTTTAGCGCCGGCCCAGTGCAGGGGATTTCTGAAAAACAGTAATCGCAGCGACGCCACTCGTGATCCGTGAAATCTGATGTCTCTGGATTCCATCACCGGGGCTCCCCGTGGTGGCAGGGTTCATCGGGGCTTCACGCCAGTCCTGCCTTCCCTCTCCTTTGCTCCGTAACTTTGTGGTTGAGTCTCCCAGCTGTGTCGCTTTGTAGCTCATGCAGCAGTGCGTGCGTGCCTGTCAAAGTGGTGACAAACTGCGGCACTTCGACTTGCTACGCCCCACGATACACGGAGTTGTGTTTCCTTGCCCGGCACTTGCTGATCGATTACCGCCGCCTCGCTATAATGTGTGCTTTTTCCCTAGAAAGTGCGATCGTGCAAAGTCTGTATAAACCGCTGCATTCGCTTGCAGCTTCTTGCCCAATAACGGTCACGGTTAGGGCTGCGGTTATGGTCACGGTTTTAAAAATAATTACCTCCTTGAAGTTTTGTTTTGTGGCAAGTGGAAAGTAGATGGCGGCACTTGAGAAATTGTTAAAGCTGTAAGGGAAGACATGCATGTTAATAATTGATAGCAGTGACTGTTGAATGAAAAGATGACCATAATGGTATCTGGCAAAGCAATTTTGATGGATACGATTCTGGTGCTGCGTAGGGGGGGAGTTGGGGGGAGGGTGGCATTTAAGTTGACAGAGAGGACTTTAACAAAAAAAGATAATTATTTTGGATGGGGAGGGATTGTAAAAGTCAAAGGCTGCATGACAGAGAGGCGATGGGAGATGACGGTGCAGTAAAGATGAGAATGACAACTCATCGCAGGGAGGAGACGGTCACTCCGGGAGGGAGAGGCGGGAGGGAGCGAGTTGCAGAAGATGGGGGCATCGGCAGCACAGAAGGAGTGGACCTCCCATTGAGCAGAGGTTGACTGGGACACCTGCCAGAGAAGGTCTTGTCGGTCGCTGCAGTGGAGAGCGCACGGAGGGCAGTCGTGTCGAACGTAAAGGCAGAGGCAGGCGAGTTCCGTCGAGGATCGTGGAAAGAGAGTGACGACGATCATGGTGGGTCACGCATGCCGAGTCCAGTGCTCGAAGTCATCGTAACGGACAAACCGCTCAAATTGTACACCGTGGGGTTTGCGTTGTCGGCCAGGAGTTCCGTAACGCGTGCTCCCGACCGGCTGCGGCCGCAGCGTGCTCATTTCAGCATTTCCCACGCCTCTTGCCTACGTCAGTGCTATTCTGCCTCCCGGTAGTCCGAGCCTCGCCTCTGCATGCGCTCGCTAGGTCGGGGGGGCACACGAGCCGCCGGACCCCCCTCCCACCCTCCGGCCATTGATTGATTAATGTAACGAGCATTGCACTCTGTGCCCCCTCAATCAGCACCACCGTCGCCGCACATCCCCAGGAAGACAACAATAAGAAGACGTCCCCTGCCAATTGTTCAGTAAAAGCACTGCTAACGACTCTAATTGACTGGGACCCGGGGAGAGGGAAGCGTGCGCCCGTGGTCTGGGCACGGACTGCTCGCCACCAGGACGCAGGTGTCCTGCTCACCACCAGGACACACGTGTCGGAGTTTGCCTGCCATGCTTCAGGTCGCGGCTTCCGACGCTTACAAAAAAAAGAATGAAGATGACTCCACTTGCAGTGGCAGCTCGCCGGACACCGTCGGCGAGGATTAGCGGACGACACGGCAGGGGCGGCTCGCGGTTGTGACCGTGTCGCTTGCTGCGTGCGGAGAGGACGCCTCCAGGGCTTTATCCGTAGAGCAGTCTTAATTAAAACGATCGCGTAGCAATGTTGATAATTGCATGAAGTTGAATGTTGAGAGAGAGGTCATCCAAGGGTAAATATATGTGCGCACGCACGCGCCGCCATGCTCTGCAAGGATATGGTCATCCCTTCAAGATGTGCACGCGTCATTATATTTTTAGCTTCATGCAGAAAGATCCCTGCCACGTTCTGTTCACACTTCATGTCCTTGATGATTGGGATGATAATGTGTTCCCCGCAGAGTGACGGGTCAGCATTTAGGATGGCTGTGAGCAGCCAGCTCGGGGTTCTTCAGAAATGCTGGCAGGCGTAGTGTGGTGGGAATGTGTTATCACTGAGCACTGACCTGGGCTGGGAAAACGCTGTATACTGACACATGGTTGATAAGAGGGAGATGTTCTGGTGTTTTTAGAATTGCATTTATGAACATGTAGGAGTCAAGTCGGCGCTATACCATGCCTATGCACGCACACGTGTGTGTGTGTGTCTCCCCAGCAGTCTGGTATCGCTGGCTATACGGGGATGTTTGTGCGTGTTCTCTTTGTCTGTTATGGAAATAATGAGCCAAATGGTGCAGCACAATTTTTTTTTTAAGTCTATCTGGCGAACTGTGGATAATGGTTGTATAGACTCACATATGTATGGATATATATTTATAGGAAATAGTAATTGTATACATGGGTTAAGTATTTCATTTATTTTAGAACAACAAATCAAGTCCCTATATATCTAGATTGAGAAAAAACGCTATATTAGGAAACAAGTAACCGTTGAAATCTCGCCAGCAGTTTATCGTGATATTGTGAAATATATATATTTTTTACATGCTAAAAAATCCAAGCCTGAAAAGATATAATCTATCAATGTGAGCATTTATTAACATTTTGGTGGCGGGCGGTGGTGAGGGGTGGGTTGGCCAGGTTACACCGCTAGAGGAACGGCACCAACAACGTTATTCTGCCCAGTAAAGACGGCGGTTCCACACCGGAGCAAATGAGACGGTGGCGTCGGCATTTCGAGAGAGCGGGCATGTTCAATGGGAATAACGCGGCATGCGAAATGTTTTGGCAAAATGACTTGCGCAGCGTTTACGAATGCTCTCACAGCTGCGGTTTCTGCTGCGTTGTATTGCGTGCAAAATGGTTGGCGTGTTCCGCCTTTCACGCTCCTAACCACGTGAACCTTTTTTTAATATTTCATGCTCGATCCATTTGTATAAGCGCGCGCACCCGAAACTAGCGTTGACGAGTGCTTTCTGTCGGGGCTGCTTAGTCACACGCGCAGCGTAATGCCTCGTCCCCTTAAAAGAGAGAGAGGGGAGGGAGGGGGGCGAGTTGAGCAATCGCCCACTTCCTCAACGACCGACGACCACAGGGCCAGACTTGAGAAGCTTAGAACCCCCTTCTGCCTTGCCGGTAGACTGGGGCGGACACGTGGCTTAGTGGCCCCAAAGAGAGAAGTGAGAGAGGGATACTGGATGTGATGTGCCCTGCGTGGGCATTTTTTTTTCAAGTCGCCGATCCAGTGCATACGTGGCCGAAGTGATGGCCCTGGACGATTTGGTTTCCACGTCCCTACGTGTTCTGTACCATACGTGCGTGCGTCTCGCACATGATAAAACACGGCCAGGTTGGTTTTACAACTTGCGAACACTCGCTCGTTTACCCAGGAAAGCCTCGCTGAGTCTCAAGACTTTATTTTAATGAGGGTCCTGCCAAGTTTATTCACAGTAAGGGGGTTGATGTTCCCCGTGTGATAATCGCAATTGAGTGATTTTGCAGGTGCATTTTCAGCATTGGGATGTTTGGCCAACACTAATGACATTTTCTTGGTTATTTCGGTAAAGTCACATAGAATGGGGACGCTGTCTTTCCGACAGCTCTGTTTCTTGTGTTGTGGCCGAAACGCCGTGATAATTTTAATTTTATTGTTTTATTTGTATTATTTTATTATTTCCCTTCTACGTGACTTTACCGAAAGAACTAAGAAGATGAATCCCTGCAGTCACGAAAGCTTTAAATCGAAAACTAATGACATTGCGTTGTCCTTCAGCTACGGGAGGGAACCGTAGAACTCAGAGGAAACCCACGCAGAAGAGGGGGAGAGAACATACACACACCACACAAGCTTCCCAGTCAGGAATCGAACCCAGGCACTTGTTGGTGTGAGTCAATAGTGTTGCCACTGCACCGTCCTGCCGCCCATAGAATTTAGTGCCGTCTCCGCAATGATGAGCTCAAGTTCTTTTTCTTTTACATATCTTATTTATTCTTATTTTAAGTGTTTATTATTATTATTTTATTATCTACAATTTCACCGCGACAGGCGGTAATGCATTGAGCAGATATACAGCACAGTTATAATTTTCTATCAAACTATTAAACAATTATTATTTTACCAGCTAGGGCCCACCGAGCTATATAGCTCTTTCAGAAGTGACCTGGCCACAAATGATAGCTCAACGAAGTGACTTGTGTAGAAATTTATAGCAGCCAAATACTATGAACGCATATTTATAAATGTGGAGGGAAAAACTGGAGAGAAAAATCCACGTCACCATGGGCAGAATATGCAAACTTCAAATATACAGACATCGGGGTTGGGATTGAACTCACGACCTCCCGCATACCAGGCGAGGGAGTTAACATCTCGCCACCGTAGCACTCCATTATGTTTAAACCTCCACCCCTTCCCCCGGCTCCAACTCTTGTGGTCACGCGAGCGGTGTTAACGACAGAGATGGCGATTACATTTCCCGTTGTGCAGCTGCACCGCCACCGCACACGCGAGAATGCGTTTCAAGATAAAAAAATATATCTGCCACATTTTGCTGCGTTTCCATCGGGCAGCGGCAGCAGCAACGGGCGACATAATTAGGCTGCACTCCAACAATGCCAAGAAAGTGCTTTGTCTGCGGAGGTCCACACACACTCCACTGTACCCCCCCCACCGACTATTTATAGACCGCCATGCGGCCGTCTAATGTGAGTCACAGCCGGTTGGCTGGCAAGGCCGTTTGAAAAGAGTCGTGCGGCCGTGTCGTGGTTTGTGTAGTGTCTCGTCTGCTTTTGGTCTGCGGCGGTGCTGATTCTCTGCCGGTGGCCGTGCTGGTGGTGGTTGTGCTGCTGCTGCTGCAGGAGCGACTGACGCTGGGCAAGCCATGCGGCGCTTTGCCTACTGCAAGGTGGTGCTGGCCACATCGCTCGTGTGGGTGTTGCTCGACGGGTTCCTGCTGCTCTACTTCAGCGAGTGCAACAAGTGCGAGGACAAGCGCCACCGGGGCCTCCTGCCCGTCCTGAGCGGTGAGTGATGGCACCGGCAGCGTTGAGGTGTGCGAGAGGGGGGCGGAGGCTGCGGCACCGACGCGAGCGTTGACCGTAACGGTTTCTCCGCATAATGTTCGGTACTTTTCTATTCAGGTCTTCCCATGCCGTGTCACGCCACAGGAGTTGGTTGACTGAACGTCACACCCTGGTCAGTGCCGGTTGTTGGTGAAGGTCGGTGGCCCCAGGATCAGTTCTGATGACACCCGCCACTGATGTTAGCCATAGCCAGGAATCAAACCGCTCCACCCCATTTAAAAATATAATTCACTTTACCGCCGGTCATCCAGCGGTGTGGCGTGGGTGGCATGGGCCCCTGTGAAAGGAATTAATTTGGGCCCCCTGTCCAATGTACTCATCTCTGCATAGCCCAGCACCTGGATCCCTCTGGCCTGTGGGCCCCAGTGCAGTTATACCGCCTGCGCACCCGATCGCTCTACGTCCTTGTCATCTGTTACATATCGAGTTTATAAACAATCGTGACTTGAGAAAAGGGCCCTTAGAAATCTATGCGATCTGCCCACCCCGCACGTTTGTCTGGCTCGTGTCGTGGTGTTTGTTTTGACTGAACGTCCCGTTTACATTTCTATGCCTGTTCTCTGCAGCATCTTGGGATGCTGCTGTGTAATGAGATGCTAATGCAAATTTTTAATTCTGTTTTTAACTGTTATTATGAAGGGGGCAAAAAAAAATTGCGCACATATTGATGAGTCTTAGTTTCACCACCATCATAATCATTAGCCACAATCTCTGCATTCATTGATGTATTTCGAGGTTAAACAATACAGCAACACCTTTTGGAAATTTGGCCCTGAAAAATTGCAGCTCACACGTTAATTGATTTCAATCGCAGAGCAGATGCGTCCTGAAGTTCTACATTGCCCTCATGCTAGATACTAAAGAATGCGATTGAACCAAGCCGTTGGCTTCTTGTGGTGTGTGACGCCAAACCTGATAAATAACAGGCGAAGCCCTCTGCCGATCGCTAGTGTGTGTGTGTGTACAAGTAAACTGTATATATGGGATATGTTAGATCATCTGAGAATAGGCTTTCCCATTTTTGCTGGCAACAAAACAGGTGTTAAGATGTTAAAACACCAAACTGAAACCTTTTACAAGGAATCATGTCTGCATTAACCACAATACTTGTCGTCAGAATGCAAAATATATGCATTGTCTTTGAAACTGATTAGTCCACACCAGAGACAGCTTTCTTTGGAGCCTAGTCTCAAACGGTGTTAGACCAGAGGATGCCAAAAGGCGTGGGGATTGATGTGGACCAATCAGTTTCAAAGACAATGCATATATTATGAGAGTATGTTTTTTGTTTGCATTCTGATCACAAGTATTGTGGTTAATGCAGGCATTATTCCTTGTAAAAGGTTTCAGTTTGGTGTTTTAACATCTTAACACCTGTTTTGTTGCCAGCAAAAAGGGGAAAACCTATTATCATATTTTGGTACTGGCAAAGGACGTCCCATGATGTTAGATCACCTTTCAGGCACAATGCGTTCCTAGAGACCCCGTCATAAATCGGAACCAATATTCCCATAGATATAAACAGTAAAAACATAATTTGCCGATGTGTTTTTCCTCTTATCGGCCATGTCTAACAGGGTTTAAAGGGTAAAGATCCACACAGAAACGTTTGAGAATAACGAAAGCTCCACGCCAAGTCGCATCGGAAACCAGACCGACTCCGTTCAGATGTGTTTGGAGTCGTGTTGGTAAGATGCGTCACAAATCAAGTTTCTGCGTCGTAAATCGATCCACGGTGGCGTTATATGAACGTCGTGAAGCGGAGACCGCCTGTCTTTATTATCTTGATAACCAGGATCAAGCCCCATGAGAAGTGAAGTTTCTCTGCCGAGGGAGGAGATGGCGCAGTGCCCTTTATCCAAGAGAAGCCTCGCTTCGTCTCACGGTTGGGATGTTTGGCCAATTTATTTCCGAATGTTGTGCTTCTGGAAGCAAAAGTGATCGACCCAGAAAATACATCTGTATTTAAGAGAATAACATTCAGAAATCCATATAAATAGGTCATTAACACATCTGCTATATTGACATGTAGCAGGACACAAGAGGAGTTGTGGTTGGCAGTGTTCCATCCAATATTTCCTTCTGAGGGTGTGCCTGATACGTCTGGCACGGCGTCTGGCACGGCATCTCCCACGCTGTGACCTGGTCTTGATTCCGCACGAGTTTTAATGTTTTTCAAGCAATTTCGTTAAAATTGCCAAAACGAAATCTCTCCGAAGGTCGCTCGCCAACGCCGCCATAAATTACACCAGGCTCGGCATCGGCGCGTATCTTGGGCTGCGCCCCACACATGATTTGCGAGTTTGCTGCCGGTAGGGCGGTCGCGGGGGCCTGCGGAGGCTTGGAGCGGGCTCCCGGCAGCCTACAGAGCCCCCGCGTTCTGCTCGCCGCAAGGCTTGGGTACATTTAGTTTTCCCCCAAGCCGCGTTGCTTGCTGTTGGCGATTACGCGTGCGCGTGCGTGCGACGCACCACGCCAGACGGAGACAGGTGTGATGGTGCCTAAAAGGTCTGGTTTGCGCGGTGCAAAGGTGGATGGGAGTGTAAATTGAAATTGCCACCTCCGCAATCCCCTGTGTTGCCTCAGCCTATCTGAAGCCCCTGGTGTTATATCTCAGGTGTCCTGCCATACTTTAAAGTAACGTCGCTGGGTACAAATTCAATGACCTTTGGCGAGATGGAGGTCACGGTGGTTATGGCACAATCTGTGTCGCGTTTCGCCCGTGCGAGTTGTTGCGTTTGGATTTTTAAAACTTCACTTCCAGCGTTTAGGCTCGAGGTGGGGCGACGATGTTTTTCTTTTCTAATTACTTAAGCAGCGAAGCCAGCTAAGTTTTAAATTAAAAGCAAAGTCAAATGATTGGAGCCCCGCATGCACATGCAGCTAAGTGGCCTTGGGGCACTAATTCATGATTAGCGTGGAGGAAGCAGCGTTAATACCCAGCAGTGGTCGAGCACTCAAGGTAATGGCCATCACGGACGGCACGCGGCATTCGGCAATCACTCGATCCGTAAACAACAATCTTGCCCTCGCCGAGCTGGGATGAAAACACGCGGATATAATAGCGCCCGCCCGCTGTCTACCACTTTTGCAGCGCACCACGTGCGCCTGTACAGCAGCCCTCTGCCAATCCACTGCTGGATGGGGTCGTCGTGTTAAACGGAATTGAAAATGTGCACCTGCCCGCTCTGGCAGTGTTCATATACGTACATTTATTTTAATTTTAAATTAAAACCTCCATTACAGTAATATCTTCACCACCGGTAAGGTGGAGTACGATCAAACATCCCCCCCCCCCCCGTGATTGACAGGGCATGGGGGGAGGTCTTCATTCAACAGTGGATTGATGAAGGCCTGTAAATCATTATTATTGTTGTAATATACCACAGTGTATCCCCGGTAAGGGCAGTGACCTTAATATGAATTCTTCAATAAGATCAATCTTTCATAGAGCCCCATGGATTACTCTTATATTCGCAGGAATAACATGACGGTGGCACGCACCCTTCACGGCAGACTCCTGTTTACCGCTAATTAAACGTCTTGGCTTCATGGTGTGCCGAAGGATCGAGTGGCTTCTCTCCCGCTCAGTGCTAAGTTGAGAGAACGGTGGAGTTACGACGCTCTGCACAGGGCTCCAGAGCTTCGGTTATGATGCAGGGAGAGAGGCAAACAAAATCCTCTATAAACCATTATTTCTTCATTTCCGTTGTATGTTTTTTTCCCGCCCTTAATACACGCTGGCACAGCAGAGAAGGAGGCACGCCGAGTATATAAATGGAGCAGTCATTCCGAATGGATGTAATCTGTAGAACTGGGAATGTAAGCTTTACACTCTAGTGGCATTATTTAGGAAGGGGCCATTTCGGACATCACTTTCTCATTAGATTTCCCATTGAACCAGGGGCAGGTGATGGGCGTTTTTTGTCCCAGGCTAATTTGGATGCTAATTGAATAATGGATGTAGCCCGAGCGTTTCATTTCTCCAGAGCTTCCAAAGATTACGCGCCTCGCGGAATGATTTAATGACACTATTCGGCGTTTTCAGTGCTGATGCGGTGATGTTCCTTTTTAGCCGTCGCGTTCGAAAGCATAAATTGCCGTGAAGTACGGCACGGAAGGCGCCGCCCTCCTCTCACTCGGCAGAGCTCACGCTCACTCGCGCGGGAGAGAGAGAGAACGACTCGGCAGAAATGCGACAGCCCTTCCGGGATGCCCGCTCGGTGGTTGTCTTGGGGAACGGATGTTCAAGCAAAATATGATGAACGCTTTCTATATGTTTCTGGGCCTGCGAAGAGACCTGTAAATCGATGGCACGTTTCCTATGAAAGTGGGGGGGGGGGCGTAGATGTGCGTGCTATTGTATGGCCGCGTTACATTACGTTAATTTGGGTTTCATTAACCTGCTCGAGTAATAATACAATTTAAGTAACAACTCCTGACGTAAAGCATGACCGCTGCTGGCCCAGCATGCACGCTTGTCGCTTGGTTGACTCGGCGCAAACGCGGCGCGGGAGGAGATGAAACACGTCGTCTCCGTAGCTCCTATGATATCGCCAGGGGGCGAGTGTTTACAACGCGCGTGTGCACGAATGTGCGCGAGCACGCGCGCACATTCGTGCACACGCGCGCATGCACACGCCTGTATGTGCACGCTCCGCGGCCCTTGCCACGACGAGAGGGCCCCGGCAATAAACAATCTCCGGCTAATCCCCCGCATTTTCCATGGACACAAATGCCTGCCAATTACGGAGTGGTTTTATCGAGTGCAAGTGTGTGTCTTCCGGAGGGCGAAAGCGTGCACACGTGCAGAAGGGTCTTGTCTTGTTTGTTTTGTCTGTATGACACGCTGAAGCAAAAGGTCGCCCAACGTTACGATCGCTCCTGAGGAAATCTCCATTCTCGAGTATATTAATGTGAGATGGAGAAAAATACCCCCG